GAGCAGGGAAGACAGCTCCAGGCAGCTGGGAGAAGCAGCAAGCAGAGAGACAGCTCACCTGAAGGCAAAAGCTGTCATGAGGAGGTGGAGATCAAGAAGAGGAAAAGCAGGAGAGTACAGAGCTGGTGAGACTGGCAAGGCAACATGGTACCAAGAGTGGGAAGGCTAGAAAGAAACTGGCTAAGCAAATGGAAAGTTTTCAGACTAATGGGGGCATTAGCAGCTGAGCCTGTGGGCAGTGGTGAAGACAAGCAGAAATTCTCACCTGTGTTGCTCTTCGCCTCCGTGCCAGTGCTTCCTGAACCAATACAAAGGCATGCTCTGCACCAACGGAGCTCAGGCAAGAGAGGATGTTGCCAGACTCTGCATATTGAGAACTGTCAGTCCCGAGAATGCTGAACGTGCTGTCGCTGTCATCTAACACCACCTGAAAGCCCACATCAAGCCGTTACTCTTCGCTCACTCTACTTGGCTTTCTTTATCTCTCCTTTTCCCTTACTTCACCCTAGAGTCATTAAAAACTCAGTACTCTCATTTCTTCAGCCAAAAAAGAAGTTTTGTTCCTTTGGCCACAGGCACTCCAGGGGTTTCTGATTATAGGAGCTATAAAGAAGAAACAAATGTGATGTGGCAGGAGGATGCCTGAACACTCAGTTTCTTAAATTTCTCAGGAATGATTTTGGTCTCCTTTAGCGTCACGAGCACCAGATCAACACTGGAACTAGCAATGAAAGGAAACATTAACGCTGCCCAGGGAAGAAGAAAGCTGATGAATACTGGAAAATGGTAATGAAAAAGTGAATGTTTATAATTACTCTAGTAGCACAAGATGATAAAAATGAGTACACAAGGGGAAAGAACAGACTTTGTGAGAGGCTGTGTAAAAGGTGTGACAACTAAATCCCACTCCCGTAGAGTGAAGTTTAGGACTAAGTTAAAGTTACCCCAAACAGTGAGATTAGTTGTGATTCTGGGGAGATAATAAGGCCAGTGAATGTAAAGTGAAGGAGAGGAGTTGCCAAATGTGTTGATTGATTCAGTGACCTTTTATAAAAATCTGGAGAACTGAGTCATTGTTCAAGGAGGGTGAAGAAAGCCTACGAGCAACACCAGAGTACAAATATCAAGCAGCCACCTCAGAAAGCACAGTCCAAGAGAGACCTTATTGAGGCGGGTGAAGGCAAAGGTACTGAAACTTCTGGTGACTCAGCTGAGGTGTCCCAGGACAGTCAAATGTGAAGTTATAAGAGGTTTTATGTCAGAAGAGTGGTATAAAAATGAAACAGCTGTTTGCTGTAAGCACTGGCAGTACACAACGTCAACATTTATTCCCTGTTGCCCTCTTCTAAGTGCTTTTAAATCAAATTTACAGGGATGTGGCCTTAACGCTACTCACCTCAGTTATATCTTTTATCAGCTTTTGGAGGGCAAGATTCTCTTCTCCGGCACTTTTAGCCAATGAAGCTTCATATTCTTTCTCTAACTGATTTGCTTCCTAAGAACAGAATAAAGAAAGAGTGGGCAGGGAAGAGCTGCTCCCCTCTGTAGCATCCCCATCCTTAGTAGCATCCTCATGCTGATAAGCCTCAGGCCTAGTGATTCCGCTAATATTCCTTCCCATATCTGCTCAACTTCTTCTTTGCTGAAACTAAGAGGAGGAAGACCAACCACCAGTTTTTACAGACTGCTACGAAGCCGTCAATTCCAAGGAACACGGATCCCTGGAGACTTAAAAGTCTCAGGCAGAAGAGTGTTGGTGCAATCTCCCTGTAGAAGACACCTGAATTGTCTGCAGCTCCCCTGCCACCACCTGGGCTGACGCCGCACGTGCCAAGGATTATTTTGGCGATGTGCCTGATGTCACCCCACTGTTGGCATTTTCCCTGCTTTTTCTCTTGAGGAAGCCATACCTTTTTGTGCTAAGGCTAGAGAGGAAACACTGGGCTATCTCCCAGATAAAGGTAAAACATACTAGAATCTCCACAGTGTCGTTAAGTGTTTTCATGGTCTTCTCCTTCTCCTCATTCTGCTTCTGAGACTGTACAAGCAAGGCTGAGAGCTCCATTACCCTGAGAAGAGAAGGTCCAACATGCCATTCCAAAAGCACAGCACGCCACCGCCTGTTACAGAGCTAAGCAGCTCCCAGAAGCATAGCAGAGAAAGTTCAATCCAGAAAATATAGCAAAGGCAACATTCACCTCTACAGGTTAATATGATTGATGTTTGAAATGGCCCTTCTTGCCCGGAAGGCCGCCTGCACTCTGTCTCGCAAGGAAACGTCAGTACAGAGGTGCTACAGTGCTTGTGGTGGTCCTGGGCAAACTCCTCCCAACTCCCTAACTCCCCAGCCCTGGGCAGCAAAAGAGCTGCACAAGAGGCAGAGCTCTCTTTACACTGGTCTCAAATTGTCACCAGGAATCAGTTACCAGCAAAGCCATTGCAATATGCAATCTCTTTTCCAGAGCTTCTGTCAGTCAAACATTTCTTTCTATCAGTTCTGCTGAAGGCACGAGCTTGCCTAGGGACAGCAGCAGGGCTGTGCACAACGGGTGTGTTTTAAACATGAACACAGCCCAACTACGGATCCAAGAAGCAGCCACAAAGGATGAAGTTGGTAACAGCAAGGTTTAGAACACATTTACCTGTCCTGAAGCTCCTTCTTCTCCAGGTCCCCCTTGACTTGTAAGCGCATCACTTCCCAAGCCCTCTGGCTGCTCTCCTGTTCCGCTCGCTGCTGTGCCTGATCCTTCAGGCCAGGTCTGCCCAGGCTGACGGACTCCCAGAGCCGCACGCTGGAGCTGAGGCGGGAGCAGTGCACAAGTATAGATCCAGAGAGCCTCATCTGCTCGGCCTTCAGCTCTGACAAATCGCTGAAGAAGAATCGGGAGAGAGATAATGGTCACATCAATATCTTGATCAGCTGACTCGCGTCTGAAGCACGTAATTGTGCAACAGCAGAAGCTGGCAGGAAAGACATCTTCACTGGGGATAAATCATTCATCTGACTCGTTGGGATCAAAACACATCTTGATAGCTGAGCAATGGGTCTACTGGATAGCTGAGGAATAAGTCTGGTTTCTCCAGAGAGATAAGAAGAAATATATGGCACAGCCAGAAGGCTCCTAGGAGCCCTAATTGCCTTTATTAATTGTTGTTCCTACTCTATCTTATTAATTGTTGCTCCTACTCTACCTTATTAATATACTCTAATTATCATTAACAGACGTAAGGGATTTTAACAAGGTCAAGGGGATCAGCCTTCAGGGACATTATTACTCTCAACAGTAGGACTGTACGAGGCTCACGACAATATCTACATTTCAGGAACATGGTGTAAGAATAAGCCTAGACTTTTCCAGCAAAAAAAGCACAAATAACACAAGAATTAACTAGTAGCTCAGGCATACTCTACACATTAAGTCCTACAGTCAAATATGACAAATGGCTGACAGCAACTCAGAGTTTGAAACTGCATGCTGACACCAGAAGAAGGTATTATTATGGCTACACTATTTTTGTTTGTGTAGAAGGCAACTGTGAGAAAGGAACCTCAGAGAGTCCAACAGTAAGAAAACAAACATAAAAAGGAGGCATCAAACTAAGCAAAATAATCTGGATAAATGCAGTAATGGGATAGAGAAGCTATTCTTTCTCTCAGTGATGTTGGTTCAGGAATAAACGGATGCAAACTGACCAGAAAAAAACGTAAGCTGAAAATGAGAAGAAAAAAATAAATAAATTCGTGAATGATCTAATGCAGCTTTTCATCATTTTATAAAAGGTATTGCTCTACATGCTGCATGTATAGGTTTAGTGAGTGTCTTCCAACTTGTCTACATACACCTGTGACTGTGTTAATATGCCCAAACATCGCATATCAAACACAGAGAGAGAGATCTGTCCCTAACTTCTACTCACCGGTCAGTGGCAGTCTTCATTTCCAGGAAATGCCGGCGGAACGTCACCACCTGACGCCACAGGCCGAGCAGACGGTCACGTTCACCCCTTAAGTAGCTGTCATAAAGCTAAACACGCAAAGACAAAAAGAAATGCCAGCTCAGCCTGTGCTGTCACTGTACAAGTCTTTCAGCCATCATCATCAGGTCTCCTTTAATAACAACTCCAACAGGGGCACAAGGACTGAAGCATCATCACAGCAGCCTCCTCACCAGACCTGTCCCCAGACTACAAAGACAGGAACATCCACACTGCTCCTGAAGGAGCGGATATCGGCAAAGCAAACCGGTCGTGATTCATCATCTCATCTTGCAGAGGTGTCTAACAGTCTTGCTGGAGGATGACAAACCCAAGGCCCTCCCAGACCAGCACCAGATTTGCTTACAACAGGCTATTGGTAAGGGAGGCCTGTCCTGTTCTTCTGTTGGCTACTCCGAATCCAAAAACACACAGGGTTTGCTGGTCTCCACTTCTGCAGACAAAGATTTAAGAACGAATAAGAAGACAAGTGGTCCTGTGTGACTGCCTCAGTGTCCAGCTACAGCAGGCCTTTAAGACTGAGCAGTGTGGTCAGAGCAGGTGGGCATCTTCCGTCCCCACAATCTACTGACACTGCTCGATCTCACAGACCTGTCTTCTGCTCTTCAACATCAACACCTCCTCAGCAGAGCCACAACTTCCACACAGCGAGTTCCCTATGCCAGAAAGAAAACACCTTCTGCTTCCACTTTGGCATCATCTGACATTCCTGTAGCCGAGCCTTACCTCACGTTCATTGCACCATTCACTCTCCTTCAATTCCAGCTCGTCCCGGGCCCTCATCCAATCTGCCGTCAGTTTTCCAACGTCTTCTTTGAGGGCTGAGTTCACCTCATTGGCTTTATTGAGGTGCTCGCGCAGCAGCGTGTTCACTTCTGCCAGGTTCTCACACCTAGGAAAGGGCGAAACAGCAATGAGGTCACTGAACGACTGCTATTCACAGGCAGCATCCCCGTGATTTTCCAGCTCCCTCAACATTGACTTTGCTGTCAAACTGAGAGGTAGTAAAAGTGCTTTCCAGGATTAACTAAGATCTCTCTGTGTATGGAAATTCATTTGCTTCTTCTTGCCTTGAGCCTTCAATTCCACCTACAATTTTGGTTCCCCTTTCCTCTTCACCTTTGATGATGCCCACAGTTAACGTCTCGCCTCCCCTTCGTGCTGTCTGATCACTGGATGCATCACCTCTCTCTAGCATTGTCCCGAGCCACTCACCTACTGAGCCAGAGAATAATTAAAGCTGGAAAGGGATGTTTGGAGGCCACCCAGAACTATGCTTGCACCACGGAAAACAGATAGTGGACCTTTCTCCTTTCAAAATGGCTTGCCCAACTGCTTCCTTTGCGGAGACTAGGTAGCACTGACAGGTTTTCCCTCACTTCCATGATCATCCACGACACCAAGGCTGAGATAACACTTCTTCCTTTTACCTTTGCTGCTCCTCTGCTACCTGAAGCAGTGCTTTCTCCAGGCTGTGGTCTTCCGTGGCCTCCCAGCCACCTGGAAGGGATCCCTTAAGAAAAAAGGAAATGTTTGGTTAAATTCTTTTGTTCCCTTCACTACTGTTAGCACCCTTCGCCTTCTCTCTATTTGTGTGGTATTTCAGGAGCTCGTGGCTTCTTCCTGGCGTAACAGTGTCACGACTGTGGAGAGGAGGGGAGGGCAAGGGTGTCACTCAATGCAAGTAGCTCTCTTTAGTGGCACTGTGGCACTCTCACAGCTGGGTAGCCTCAACTCACGACCACAAGTGCTCACTTAAACCTGATGCTCGTGAATGCTATCCTACTCCCCCCCTTTTAATTTCCTAGGTTTATTTTAGCCAGCTCAGGTGGCAAAATCTTGTTTTCCTTTGTCATTAACTTAGGGAGGTTTTTTTTCACTTGCGTTAACGAATGCTACGCACACTATCTTTAGTGAGCAACATGTTGCACTCACCCCTCCTGCTCCTGCTTCCAGCTGCTGCTCCAGCTCTCGACACAAAGTCCGGTACTGCAGTACCTAGATAGGGACGTAGAACGAAGATGAGCAAATGCAGCTTGTAACAGACTCGGCTCCTCCTGCGTTAGCCTTTCTCTAAGTCTCTACAGCCCAAGCACAGTACATTTCACTGTGCTGTCGATACAGTAGTTGACAAGAAGTTGTTACGATATGGGGAAGCTTTGCTTTACCTAATTCTAAAGAAAGTCAGACTGTGTTTCTTTCACGTGCAGTGCTATCTGCTCATCCTACGGCAGCGACGGACACACAGAGGCAGCCTCGGGCAGCCGTGCCTGGCCTGGCCCACCTTGTACCCCAAATCCGTACTTCCACCGGGCTTCAAGGACCAGTGGGTCCCTGAAGTCAGACAGACGAGTTTTCAAGTTAAGCC